CCAATCTCAGTGGGGTTCCAATTCACCTACCCTACCTTCCAGCGCCAGCTGGACACCCCTCAGAACGAGCTCCCTTTGCTCCTTTCCTCCTCTTCCATTCTGAAAACAGCGCTGAGAGCAGGGCTGGGCTGCATAAGCCTAGACCTCTTTCTAGTGCATGCCAACACAAGTAAACGAAGACACACCACTTCGGAGCGCCTTCATCTGAACCCTCATGTAATGAGAGTTCAGATTGTTACAGGATCGGACCCTTTTAAAGAGCTCTGAAGCTGGGCACTTGTGTTAGGTCACAGCTGTAGAGCTCTTTCAGGGGCCAAATTGGGCAAAAATGGTCACTTCTGTCTGTGCCTAAAAACTACTTGTACTCATCCACTTCACACAACCAAACTTTGTGACTTTTACTGTACACCATAATATTTTCATAGATCCTAGCATGATGGATTTACCTGTAAGTATGACTGTAAAATCCCAACCACAGGCAACCTGTATCACATGCAAGCTGGACAATGCAGTGCACAAAGTAAAACAAAGTACATCCTCTGTATGATTCAGTCCCAACTGTCCTTCTTTGTTTTGGCCACATACAAAGAGTTCACCTGCATCTGCAAAATAAAACCACTATTGAACCTGGATTCATTACAGATGTAAAACAGAACCATACACAGCATGGTTTTATGACAAATAAGTATGAGCACACAGGCCTCATCTCCATAATGAAAAAATATTTGCTTCTAATGCATTAAAATCCCCCCTTTTCTTATGATCCACAGCCATCAAGTATGCAGTTGCCAAGGGAGATTATTCCCCTTCCTCCCACAGCATTTCAAAATCTTTTCTGCTATCATCCCTACTTTTCCTAAGCAGACATAATACATGGCAGAATTTTCCAACTGGGGATTAGGATCCTATTTAAAAGAAGGCTCAAGCTATCTTTTCGAAGTGAAATACCCCTGTTTTAACGCCTCCCCCCAAAAGAAAATTCCCTTTCATGATAAACAGGTGGAATATCACAATTATAAAAAAAATATATACAATTTTCCCCACCCTACCCCACTTCCCCACAAAAATGCAAGTATTTAGCTACAAATAAACAGTTTTGAAACTAAAAATTGGTGCTTGCTATAACCCACAGAGGGCAGCAAAATACCAAGAAAAAGACACTCAAACAAGAAACCTCCTTTAAAAGATGACAGTCCATCAAGTCTAGGGCCAGTATCAGACAAATGTTTGCTACCAGTGATAGCTGCCGAGTGCCCTCCTCCTCCAGTGATGCTTTTAATCCTTTGCTGGTTGCATGGAAAATTTTCCAGTGACTGAGGTAGCAGTACATCCTCTTTATGACCAAAGCCCAGCTGTCCATAGCTATTTGCGCCCTTTAAGTACAGGCGGGGGGGGGAAAAAAAACAGAGGTTTGTTAACAGAAAGATTCTTTAGCCTTTAAATAGTATGCAGAGTTTGCAAAAATTCAGCTTGTCTCTTTTGAAGATCCCTAAATAAGGGTATTTTTGGATCTGAGCCTCTGAAAAGACCTCAGATCATGCCTGACCCTCTATTTACACAAGATATGAAGTGACTTCTTTACTAGGTACAATCTAGTCCAGTGCTTCCCAAACTTTTCCTCAGCATGACCCCAGTTATTGCCCCATTTCCTCAGCATGGCCCCTGACTCCCAACCCGCAGCCCCCCTCCCCATGGCCCCATTTGCTGATGTTGCAGTCCCATTTGGGGTCACAGCCCACAGTTTGGGAACCGCTGATCTAATCTGTTTGGCAAAAGCCTATCTTATAGAAAAACACCCTGTCCTGATCTGAAGGCTCCATCCCAAATAGCACAACATGCCTTTCTAACCCTCACTGGGCATGTCTTCACAAGATGCTGTCTGCACAGTTGTTACTGCATAGTCACTTAGTACTTGTATAAACAAGCTGTATAACTCAAGTTACTGTGCAGTAGCTTCAATGAATGGTTCTTTTATAATTCTTACTGCGCAGTAGCCCGAGACTACTGCACCGTAGTGTCACGTCACCGTTGCTGCCACGCAACGCTACGGTGCAGTAGTCTCAGGCTACTGCACAGTCAGAGTCTCGCATGGACACGGCCACTGACAATGAAGAATTTTGGTGCATTAGCCCACCACACAAACATCCCAGCATGCATGTAACATGCCATGTGTCCATCCCCAACAAGTGGTCCCAAGGTGCCCAGGCTCTCTCAGCACTATCTGGAATCACACCAGGTGCTCTCATGCCAGGTTCCATGATTCAAAAGCAGCAAGACAACGTAAAGAGTGCCAAGAGCTTTCCCATTATGCTCACCCAGAACACACTCATCATGGGTTGTGAGTTACCACATAAAATTACATTAACTGTTTTAAAGATAGCTGAGAAGATGACTTTCTGCTGCTTTGTTCTCATTCAAAGACAAGCGGGTCCATCTAAGCACTCTCTGCATTTTGTTTACCCACCCACTTCTAGATTCTGCAGCTTTTTGTAAATTATGCAGAGGTTACGACAATAGTATTAAAAAGGGGAAATATTTATAGGAATAAAAAGAAAATATTGCCATTGTCCATAGCAACAGTGAGAACATTACTACAATAGCGTGTCCAATTTTGATGTATAGTCTTAAGAAAACACATACTGAGAAACTGGAAAGGGCTCAAAAACGTGCTAGAAGAAGGACTTGACGTCGAGAATGCATACCTTATTCTTGAATGAATAAATTCAATCTCTTTTGCTTATCTAAGAGAAGATTAGGAGGTGAAGTGATCAAAATCTGTACATACCTTTCTGATAATCATGGGTTTTTTAATCTAGTGGTTAAAAAAAAAGAAACGAGATCCAAAGGCTAGAAACTGAAACCAGACAAACTGACTAGAAATAAGGTACTGCAGAGATCATTCATCACTGGAATAATTTACCAAAGGATACAGTGGATTTGCCTTCATTTTACATCTTTAAATCATGACTGGATTTTTTTTTAAAAACTCTTGCTCAGCCAAAAGTTATGAAAAACTTTGGAATCACTTGGTGACATTCTCTAATCTGCATGATGTTGGAGGCCGTCATGCTGGTTATAATGCTCCCTTCCACTCTTAGAATCTATTGAATAGATTTGTTCTTTTTCATCATGGTCTCAAACACCTTTTGAGTCTGATTATGGTTTCCCAAGAACATTTTGACTACATAAACAATAAGCCTCCATGAGAAAACAGACTGAAACAGTGCAAATTGCTATGTTTTAAATAACACTTAGAAGGTACCTGACCTACCAACACTGTGTATATCAAACTGCAAGCAGTTAATGCATGGCCTTTATTAAAACACAAACAGGTAGAGAGAATTTGCTATATAAAAATGTAAGATATTATATTATTAAACTATTAGGCACTCAAGAATATAAAATGTATGCTGCTAAATCACTGGTATACAAGTGAAGGACTTTCCAAAGATTTTTTTCAAAACAAGTACTAGGAGAAAAATATTTGCAAGATTTACATATTTATCAAAAGGTTTATCATCATCATCTCCACGTCTGCCTGAATGCATCTTAAATAAATAAACAAACTTTTCCCTCTAGAGAAAAAAGTATTATGCGGCAGAACTGTATACCATGTAGTGCATAAGGTTTGTCAGCTGCAGCCCAATGTTTATTTGCTTCATTTTAGAACATAGCAACATTTAACTACCCAAGAGATGAGGCAAAATTTGGGGCAATAATCACCTGTGATTCTACCTATAAAATTGCTGGCAGCCAATCTTTTCAAGTTTCTACAGAACCCTCATCACCATCACAATGTTTTAGGAATTTGAGCATCACAGCCACATCCCTGGAAAATGAAAAATAGTGGCTGTCATTCTGCAGAAGAACTTAGGCACAGAACAGCTTAAGAGATTTGTCCAAAGTGGCTGGATCCAGACGTGTAGGCATGTGGGATTTGTTGTGCCGCGAACCTCTTTGCAGTGCCACAAAATAACATGTTGCATATTAAACCATGTGCAGCGCAGCTAGCTGGGGCAAAATTTACCAAGATTTCCTGGTAGAAAAAAAAAACCCTGGAAAAATAAAAGCAGTGCAAAGCACGCCAAAATGCTGTGTGCCAAAACAAACATGGAGATGGGTGAGAAGGAAAATGTGTCCTGCCGCAAACCGCCCAAGCAAGGGAATGCACTGCAGCACAAAGTAGTGGCACAGATTTGTGCCACTACTATTTGTCCTGCTGCAAATGCATGCCCCTGCCTGTGTGGACACGGCCACTTATATGGCAAAGCCAGGCCCAGGTCTCCTGAGTCTCAACACAATGCACTATTCAGTAAAACTCCCTTCCTGACACAATAACTGATCAATTCCAGTGTCATTTCCCATCCAAACAAAATGGTTTATCATAAAGTATATAATTACTTTTCTGTACTTTGATGCCACAGATAGCATGAATGGCTCCTACTTTCACTAGTTTACCAAATAAGTCCCTGACCAGATACCCACTATGAAGAGACAATTAGTTATTTTTAAAAAGCTGTACTATTCCTCTGTGACAATATTTGCTTATTTTTTGCATGCATCTGTTTCCTTACTCTGTAAACACCCAGCTCAGATTAAATTGGGTGGAGTGTGCCATGTTCTTCTTCATGTAGCCTTGGGCTTGTCAAACAGTCCCCAGAAGGGCTTCTAAATGTTTTGAAAGAACTTTTAGAAGTACACAAATAGCTACATGAAAAAGTACAGCCAGGTACTTCTTATGGACTTTAAGCCAAATTCACTTTACACCAAGGAATGCTGCTAATGATGGAGTTGCACTTATACTGTACATCAACGGTGAATTTAATCCAGTGCTCACAGGCAAAGAACAAGAAAGGCATATTAGCATTAAAATTATGCAAGCAGTAATTATACTACTACTAATAATCATTCACCAGTAAGACAACTGCTTAGAAAAGTTCATGCCTGTGAATCAGCTAGCTTCTAAGGTGCTACCTTCTGCTTTACTATGATTTTGTTCACAAAGACATCCCTGCAGAATCCTGCTCTCAAAAGATAAGCAGCCTATGTCGCCTCATTTGCAACCTGGAATTAGTGAAATAGAAACACTTATCTGTCAACAGTCAGCTCAAACATTTGGAGCCTAAGCAAATTACTGACAGATTTACAAAAGAATGCCGAGTCAGATAAAGGAATGAGATGATACAAGCACTGAAAATAAAACATGGGAAGTATTAAGATAAGTTTTGGAATACTTCAGCAGCTATACCAGCTGAATGCAATCCACCCATTTTGACCCTCGACATTTTTGCTCGCCTCCAACAACTTTCTTTAAAAAAAAAACAAAAAATGTTAAAATAATACCAATAACCTCAGATCCAACACAACCACCTCTCCTGGCAAAACTTAATCACTGGAACCCTTGTCCTCTCTCTCTTCCACTCCAGAGTCCCTCTTCTACTCTGGTTTCTCTTCCTCTTCCGTGCTGGGTTAGTAGCATCTGATGTACTTTAAAGGGAGATGTGCCATTTAATAACAAATGCAGCAAAAAGAGACTGAAATTCAGATAAGAGACTTTGGCTGTGCCCATGATAAATGTACACACAAAATTTCAAGATTCTAGCTCCACAGGAAGATGGAAGCTGGTGTCACTCTGTTATGATCAGCACTTGTAATCCTAGCTGGTTCAGAGATCACCTTTACATAATTTTTCCTGGAAGGTAATTCACATACTCACTGCAAGGTGAGCGACAAAATTAGATGCTAAGAAGACTGAAAAACACTTCCATGATAGATGCCATGCTCAAGATGCCTATCTCCATTTACTCTTGCATGCTTGCAGATGTAACTATTACTGACCATCGTGGCTACTGTATACATCAGAGGGATGAGAGTCAGAGCAGAGGACAATCTATGGCTATTCACACAATACTTATGTCCATTTTGCATGTACTGTAGGTGAAATCCTGGTCCCATGGCAGTCAACAGCAAAACTCTTTTTGATTTCAAAGGGTCCAGACTTTTCCCCAAGGCAACTCCTTTATGAGGAGGAATGCACCTCCATGTACCATTCAAATTGCAGAATGAAAAGTCAGCAGCTGCAATCTCTCTTTGAACACCTACTAGGCTAAGGCAGAGAAATTCTCTTGGCTACCTCTCATGCAGCATAAATAACTAGGCACAATTGTCCATCAATGGATTATTTTTGGTGGATAGGAAGTGAAAGTATTATGAGATGAATGGTATGTAATGAGGCACTGAAAAAAAGTACATCTTCTGGTGTCCATTCCCAGAAACAGCTGACCACAGTAGTGACTTGCCTTATTAATTTCATGTCTTTTCTAAGAAGTAGCAGTGTCCAGCACATGTGAAAGTCATCAGAAACAGACATTTTATTTCTTTTTGAAATGAATGCTTAAATACTGAAGATAGCATAAATTCACTTTCATCTCTGTCAAGCAATATTTTTAAACTATGAACAGTGGCTGTTCTTAAAATATACACATCAACTGAGAACATAGCATACTGTTTTCTTTTGTTTTATTTTAAATAAAGCTAAAGATATTATAGGAATCTTTCAGGGGGAAAGAAAAACTTTATTCCTGAATTTTTCCAAATAGCTTCAGATGCAAGATGCTTACAAAGAGAACAATTTAAAAGAAGGAATAGAACCACAGCCCCTTTACACGTGAAAAATGAGCAAAGTGTTAAGCTCTCATTTTCTGGAGCTACAACCCCTCCATGGCATCCCTTAATTTTAATACTTTTGTTCATTTTGGCCTGTTCATCTAAAGAGAGAGAGACATTATGGGTACCCAAATACACAAGTGACAGAATCTATTATGCATGTACTAAAACGGCATTGGGAATATCTTAAGAAATAAGCCTTGGAGGTTCAGCAAACCACAACCTACAGCACAGACGAGCTGCCTAAGGAGCCTGTCAGACCACTTTCTATGATCTGGGCCTTGATTGTACAACTCCCCACATGAGTGAATTGCAATGCCTGCAAGGGGCCCTGCTGTCTTCACCATTGCAACAGTCTGTCCAGGCACTAAGATTTGGAGATTGCACCCATGGGTGTGTGCAACCTACACTCTTAACTGTTTCTCTACTACAGCAGCTCTCAACCTGGTTAGACTCAAGGGTCCCCTGGGAAAATGCCAATGCTGAACTTCCACTTGTTTTTTTTTTGTTTTTAATACAAAACAAGAACAAAGTCATTCTGCGGCAAAGAACTCACATGACAGACCACAAGCAGTCAGAAAGGAACCTGTCGTGTTAAAACCAATTTGAAATCTCTGGGTTTATTTTGTGAATCATGTGGGCGCACCTCACCGTGCTAACACCTTGTGTGACACCCCACAGCACCCTGGTTGAATATCACAGCTCTACACCAGGAGTGTCAAGCGAACAGCCCACGGGCTGGATCCAGCCCATGGAGCCACTGTATCCAGCCCACTGGGCTACTGATCGGCCACTGGAAGTTGGGGCCGATTGGCAGCATGAGGGTGACCAAGGGATGACCTGACCCTGATCGCCCTCTGGCCTCTTCACCTGTCACAACTCCAGCTCATCTGCTGCCACTGCCACATGGACCCATCACCTCCGTGTGCTCCATGCTGGAGTGGGAGCTGTCATCCCAGCAAGAAATATGCATGGGGGGCAGCAGCTCCAACACTGACATGGGGCATGCAGGGGGAGCAGTGGCTGCTGCCACACCATGCACCGGGCTGCAGCTACCCCGTGCCCTGGGCTGGATCTAGCCTGCAAAGAGCCCTGCAGCGCAGACCTGGGCCTGGCCAGGCAAGTTTGGCACCCCTGCTCTACAGCAAGCACAACCATGGCTGTGATCTCTTCCATTTGACACATGCCAAGCGCAGCTCCCAGGTGCCCACAAAAGTACCAAGTCAGCCCCTTCAGTTTTGCCTTCCCCTGGAAGAGACTATCGCCAGCCCCCTTTCCTCCAACCCACCGCTGCTCCGGCACCGCAGCAACCCCCGCGACCCCTCAGAGGTTGGGCCTTGCATGGGGCCAGCCGTGGCATCTCTTTGTGAAGGTGAAAACAAAAGAGGCCTTTTGGGAGTCACACCTCGCCCCACGCCCACGCAAGGCTACGGTGGCAGGCAGGGTGCGAACTGCAGGGGACTGCAGAAGCTGACCCCTCTCCCTCATAAGAGACGGGAGCCTCCCTGGAAGATTTGCAAATCATAACCGGGGTGGGGGGCAGGTCTCTGGTTTTATTAGGGCGTTGTAATGGGCAGCCCAAATTGTATTTGTAGCCCCCCAAGAATCAGCTGAACCCTGGTAGTTAGTCATGAAGGCCGCGCGCCCCCGGAGGCCGGGGAGTCCTTGGGCATGGGGTCCCTCTCGGGCAGCCCCAAGCCGGGGCAGCCCAGCAGCAGCCCAAGCCTGCTCCCAGCCCCCAGCGGCGGAGGGGCCTTCCCGGGCAGCAGGGAACAGCGCCTGGACACCCGCCGCCGCCGCCCCCCGGCCCGGGGCACCTACCCACGCCCACAGCGCCCGCTCCATGCGCCCGCGCCGCCACTTCCGC